AAAAAAAAAATAGCCTTCTTTCAAAAGAAAATTTTATTAAATATTTGAGAAAAAGTTTTTCTTTCAAATTTTTTTCTGAGACCAAGTACTATACTGATCATTTTTAAATTATTTTTCTCAACAGGTGCTTTCTCTAAACACAGAAAAAGACATTCACTGGAGTTTCCGGTCACTTCTCACTGAAGTGAACAAGGCTGGCACCCAGTACTTGCTTAGAACAGCCAGCAGGCTCTTTGGAGAGAAGACTTGTAAATTCCTTTCAGTAAGTTGGATCCTTAGAACAATAAGAGTTGTACTGAAAATTCCTAGTAATATAGAGTCTATGAGAAAGACCCTAGGGAAATTGAGAAAGATATTGTAAACTTTTTTTAAAAATGACGACAATTGTATAGTTATGTGTTTTATTATTTAAATTCTGACTATTTCTTAAATTCATTTTAGTTATTCAGGGCTTAGTACATACCTATTTACAAACATTGATATTTTACCATCTAGTAGAGCAAGATATGATCACTTTTTAAGAGATATGCATATTCTTTTTATTTTAAAATATATAATATTTAGATTTTTTGGAAGCTTGCTGACATCTTATTGAGCAATGCAGCCTCACTAAACACTTTTCTCTCTGAAGATATTTAAGGAATCCTGTCTTCAATTCCACCACGCTGAGCTAGAGCAGCTTTCTTTTGTCACAGCAGCCGAAGAGTCCAGGAGACACATCAACACTTGGGTCTCAAAAAAGACTGAAGGTGAGAATTGTGAGTTCGTCCACCCTCCTCCCTATCCCTACCTCCACCTCCTCTTCCTCCCCCCACCTTGTTCTCTTCTTCTCTGGCCTTCCCCTCCTGTCCTTCTCTCTTATTTCCCCCCAACTCCTCTGATCTCGTTGGTGTTTCAGATGGTCAGTGTGCCGTTGGCTGGCTGGGCCTCTTGGTGTGCTGAACTTTAGTGGAGTCATAAAGGTTCTGATTAGATGCTCAGGTTTCCAACAATAGAGATTTAATTTTGTCTATTGTCCCAGGACCAGAGCAGCTGATAACAACTGTCAAAAGAAACTTAAGCTAGATTTCCAGTTGAATAACTTACATTAAAACATACTTTCACTGGCCTATAATGTTCACATGCTGGGTGACTCCAGCACTTCTGTGAGAAGGAGACTGATGGACAGATCTCCCTGAGTCATACACTCCAGCCACCTCTTCCTAGATTCTGTGTGGACCTTCATCACCACTGCTGTACCTATGTGGGTTATTTCTGCTTCCTTCATGTCTCCCATTAAGCTTCCTTGATTAGACTTGATAAGCCTAGACTGTGTTGGTCAACCACACACACCTTCTCTCAGGGCTGATCAGTTCACAGACTGAGAATACCCTCTAGTTAGGGTCAAATCTTATTTGTTTCTATTTTAAACAGTGACAGGTTCTAACTTTGGCTCCCACGATCAAGGACAGTCTGATGTTTGAACCATTCAGACTCTTCTGCACCATTTATGCTTAGTACCAATAGGAATATTTATATTTCCCTTTATAAATGAGACAGTCAGGAATGAAGATAATCTTCCATTAAAGATTCAGCAATTATTTCCCCCACTTTATCTTGGAACTGTCACCACTGATACCATCTTGGGACAGTAAAGTAGCAGGGATGCCCTTAGTTTGTTGGAAAGGAGAAAGGGGCATCTTTATTTGACCATGTTCTCTTTTTCAGATCTGCCTGGTGCTTTTTTTACAGGATCCAATAGTAATGTCTCTTCCAGAGGCTTCTGGAAACTCCCTGTGTGCCCATTACCAACTTTTCCCCCTTTGAGCCATTGTTCTGGCTACCTCTGACTTGCTCATGTATAGTCATGGAATGTTAGAACTGGGTGTGACCATGGAGAGTTAGATCGCACCTCCATTTAACCATGTGAGATACATTGTACCACCACCACCCCAGCCCATTTCCCATATCCTGCTTGTCTTGTTCTCTGTCCTGGTGTAGTTTTTCTATTCTCTACCAACCTGTTTCCTTGAGTGACTTACAAGTCTTTCACCATCCTCAACTTGTGGATGTTCCCAAGGTGTCAGTAATCATGAATACCACTGAACAATATGTATTATTTTTGATTTCTGTATATAACAACCTGAACTCAGCAAATTTGAAAACAGAATATTTGATTCTGGACTAATCATCTAGGATCTGCCAATACATTGTATCACAGTTTATTCATCAGATTGTTATTTTTAAAAACCCCAACTAAATGTAGCCTCTACTTTTCTTAAAAGGTAAAATTCGGGAGTTGTTGCCGGATAACTCAATTGATACACAGACCAAACTGGTTCTTGTCAACGCTATCTACTTCAAAGGAAGATGGCACGAACAGTTTGACAAAACATACACAAGAGAAATGCCTTTTAAAGTAAACCAGGTAGGGGGGAGCTTTAAAAAATCATTCTAGTTGGATGAAGAAATTAAATGGAGAAGTTTAACTCTGTGGCTCGGCGCCTTTGGCTCAAGTGGCTAAGGTACCAGCCACATATACCTAAAGGTGGCCGGTTTGAATCCAGCCTGGGCCCACCAAACAACAATGACGGTGGCAACCAAAAAAAAATAGCCAGGCGTTATGGCGGGTGCCTGTGGTCCCAGCTACTTGGAAGGCAGAGGCAGGAGACTAGCTTGAGCCCAGCAGTTGGAGGTTGCTGTGAGCTGTGATGCCATGGCACTCTACCCAGGGTGACAGCTTGAAGCTCTGTCTCAAAAAAAAAAAAAAAAAAAGAAGTTTAACTTTGTAAGTGCACAAATGACAGGTTAAAAATAATTTGAAATGACACATTTCTGAATGAATTTTTATACTCAGTAGAAAAAACTGAAGGGATAAAGGATATTTTCTGCCTGTAATTTTTGCATTTCATCACTGCTCTTGCTGCCTTTGATAGTTTCCCACACACCATTGCTGATATCTAGTTCTAGAAACTAAATATTCTCCTTTAAGCCCAAGTTACTTGGATAGAAAGCAAAAGAATCAGGTGCTAAGGGGATATGTGGGACAGAGGGAGGGAATATGAAAACACATTTCTTTAATCAGTTTTTTAAAAAATTAAAATAAGTATTTCAATTCTAAGTTATTACCATATATTCAGTATTTACAGCTTTCTAATAATAAAACTGAGTGACAAAGACCTTAGTCTTGATATTAGAATAGTTTCCCAAATCCTTTAGTCCCTGAAAAACATCATTTTAATGCAATTGGAAAACTTGTAAAATAATCACTTGCCCCTTTTATAAAATAAGATATACTTTAGAGAACTTTTAACAAAATCATTTCTCTAGTGGAAAGGTGGGGTGTGGAGGAAAAAAATTCTAATATTGATAGGAGAACTGTTTTAATTTTTACAACAGATTATCTGTATCCATTTTTAAAAATTAATAAATGTAATACTTCAATTAACTTCTGCAATCGTATACTCTTCTGTAATTAAAAAAATATTTCCTTAGAGTAGCAGAATTAAAACAATTGGGTTAAAATACTTGGGTCATTACAAAAGTTTGAGATACTAAAAAATCAAGAAAGATAACTTCTGGGAGGATGGTAAGAAATGAAGCCCTCCCAGCTACATGGATTAGCTGAGCAAGTTGAAGTTTGCACTGGTCAATCAGAAAGGAAGCTGTGGACTCTGTTTCGTGGAAGTGAAATAATGGATAAGGCAAGCAAGTTGAAACTGCACAGGTGAATCAGAAAGGTTGCTGTCAACTGTGTTTCTTAGAAGTGAAGTAATGGATTATAACATAGCCTGTCTCAAAACTTCTGAGTTAAAAAAAAATAAAACACCAACTTTCTAGTGACCCACATATACATATGGGGTTGTTTTACTCTGTCTCAAAGGGAATGTATCCATCTATATTACCAATCACACTATTGTGAAGCTATAAATTTCATCCCACTTTATAAAATTTCTATTTCTAATTAAATAGAAACAATTTCCTATTTAATTTCATTTGATTATATTGTTTCCTTTAGACGTATTTGTTGAGCATATTTTAAATGAGGAAAATCTGCCTTCTTCCTCTGGAAAATGCAGAAGATCACATTTTGTTTTGTTGAATAATACCTTTTTCCAAGCTAATAACTGTGTCTGCTTACGATTGACGACTTTCAATGATGGTAGGAAGGAACTGGTTGACATGGCCTGTAAGTGTTCACTGCCGCAGGAATGTGGTTTCCATTGCGGGCCTGTAAGCACTTGCAGAGGCTTACTGCAGCTCTTTCAGA